TAATGGCTATTAGCCAGTTACGAGTACGACCACGACAACGACGACGACGACCACGACGACGCGACTACCACCACCACCACCACCAACACCACCACGACGACGACGACGACTGCTGCTGCTGCTGCTACTGCTACTACTACTACTACTACCACCACTACCACTGCCACTGCCACTACCACTACTACTACTCTACTCCTCGCCTCCTCCTCCTGCTGCTACTACTGCCACCGCGACTACGACTACTGCTGCTACTGCCACAACAACAACAACAACTACTACTACTACTCCTACTCCTACTGCTTCTCCTGCTGCTGCTACTACTACTGCTGCTGCTGCTGCTACTACTACTACTACTGCCGCTGCTGCTGCTGCTGCTTTTACTACTACTACTACTACTACTACTACCACTACTACTACTACTACTACTACTACTACTACTACTGCTTCTCCTGCTGCTGCTACTACTACTGCTGCTGCTGCTACTACTACTACTACTACTACTACTGCCGCTGCTGCTGCTGCTGCTGCTGCTTTTACTACTACTACTACCACCACTACTACTACTACTACTACCACCACCACCACCACCACTACCACGACCACTATCATTACCAAAGCCACCACCGACGACCACTAATATTGTTTTACTACATTGTCTACTTCTACGTGACTACCAGGTACAACTACTACTACTACCGCCACCACCACTCTACAACATGTGCAGAGGAGTGGTAACTCCAGGTCGACAGGATGCTCTCCGACGGCTCAGCCATTTCAGCGGAAACCTTCCATGCCAAAGCCTTAGTACGTACAGATGTCGCGACCTAGCGGAGGGACAGAGGACGCATCCAGACTGCTGCCTGAAACTTTATGGCACCCCCGGCACCCCGTACCTTCGTTACCTACAAGGGGGCCGAGGTTTCTCTCTCTCTCTCTCTCTCTCTCGTTCTGTCGCTTGTCGCTTGCTGCGTGGATGCATAGTAGCCAAGTATAGCAGTCCACCAAGATCAGACAAGATTGTCATATGGCACGTGATGTACAGCTGCATATACAGAGAAAGCTGGATTTTCAAGGGAGAAGCATGCCCACAGAGTCGTAGGCACATATGTGAATATGTATAATGTATGTGTGTATATGGAAGTAGTTGACAGATTGTGTCAACCAATCTCTACGTCCACCAGCAACAGAACGTTGTTTTTGTTGATGAATCGCGCTCAACAGCGACATCCATTGCAAGCCTCATATCGACTCTTCGTTGAAGCAAACATAGCGTTGTGGCCATAATCTGTGGATGTTTAATTCGGAAACATGCATGCATTGGGAAGCATGACATGCATCAGCAACCGAACAACGGGGGTTATATCAAGCAGTGAGCTGTTCAGTGCTCATGTTTAATCAACCATGCTGCCGTCAAACAACGCAGCGCTGCACTTCGCAACCTCCATGTTCCGCACTGCAGAGGGACACTCGTGACAGGCGGCCATCAGCGCATGTGAGAAGGCGCCCCGCTCCATTTCTGCTCAACTGTGAGTTCCAACAGCCCGAATCCGGGCATCTTAGACGAATCCTAAAAGCAGGTTCTAAGGGGAAAGGAGGAGGTGGGTTTGTCGCCCCCCGGCTAAAGGACAACAGCGCCAAAGTGCTAGGAGTGCGAATTGGGAAGTGCGAGAATGGTTGTGATGGCGAAGAACCAGGCTTGAGCAAGAGCACACTCTCAGCTTCAGTTGCAACAACTACTGGCAGCGATCTAGGGGATTCCGAAAACATGCAACCAGCTGGACTTCCAGTTTTTGGCACTCTAATCTCCACTCTGCCCCTAGCAGCCCATCACCTGCCACCCTGCAAATGTACCCCAATCAGTGAAATCTGCAGGATTTTGTGGACATCCGCAAAAGCCTCAACCCTCTAGCCTCCCGAAACCCGAAGCCACCCAACCCCCGTGACATTAGGGACTCGCTTCCGGCTCCCGCGATCAGTGGCCACACCCTCCTGGAAGCTGGCTCCCCCCTTGAAAACATGGTTTAGGGCTTTTTTTATATTGTTTAGGTGTCAAGAAGGTCTTTAGGGGGTTAGGTTTAGGGCTTTCTTTATAGCTGGTCAGGAGGCCCGAAGCCCAAAATCCGAGGCCCTGGGAATCTAAGACCTGAAGCTTCATCTGGCTGAGGGCCTCAATCCTCAAACCCCGTGCTGCAAACCAACTCATGATTCTTATGAAGGTACGGTATACCCAAAACCCTACATAAGAGAAAGGCTGCTCTTGAAGCCTGAAACCTTGAACCAAGAGGGCGGCGGCCTCTGGCAATGGGCCCTTCAGCTACTCCGAAGCCTCCGCAGCATGGCCAAATCCGAGGAGTGATGTTCCGGCTTGCAGGCTTGCATAGTGGTTCTAGAGGGTTTTGTTCTTGTTCTTTTGGGTTGTTATGAGTATGGGGCTGAATATGCGGGGGTGTTAAGACAAAAAGTAGGTTTCTGAGGAGCCCTGTGACTGTAGCCCAAAAGATCCGCCGACCTATATCCTGTTTTGTTTATGGTTTAGAGTACCTGAACCCAAAATCGCCAGGTTGTGAGCCTTGCCAAATTGTCGGACTGTGAGAGTCGTAACCATCGAATTTCAGGTACCTGGCAGGCTTCGCAAAAGATTGTGGGGTGTGCCTTTGGGAGTCACAAACTCTTGGAGGCTTGCGGAATGTGATCTCCCCAGCCTGTCCGAAGGTGGGGCGCGATTTCTGCCAAGCACGATCGCGCTGAACTCCGCACTGAGTTGCTGTGCGAAGGCTTGGGCCCAAAGCCCAGACAGTCGGATCCCATGAGCCGAGACTATTCCTTAGGCCTGTGGCCTTAGACTACACCAACAAGATGCTCTGCAAAGTGGTTTAAGGCGAGGTTTCTGAACTCCGAAACCTACATCCGCAAACAGCACTAGGCTACGTGGTTGACTGTGTTACCTACATGTGTACCTGCATGCATGCATACATCCATCCATGCATCCATGCATGTAGACAGACATGCATTCGCATACTTGGCTGGTTAATCTTAGCTGCAAACGTTTTGACACTGCGCTCGAAAGTGTCAGTACCATACTTGCATGAGTACATACCAACAAAAAACAAACAAACGAAAAACCAACCAACCAAACAACCAAACAACCAAGCAAACAACCAAACAACCAAACACCCAAACAGCCAAACAACCAACCAAACAAACAAACAAACAAACAAGCACACACAAGCACACAAACACACAATCACACAATCAAACAAACACACAAACAATCACACACACACACACGCCAACACACAAACACACAAACCCACAAACACACAAACAAACAAACAAGCACACACACAAGCAACCAACCAACCAACCAACCAACCAACCAAACAAACAACCAACCAAACAAACAACCAAACAACCAACCAACCAACCAACCAAGCAAGCAAGCAAGCAAGCACACAAACACACAACCAAACAACCAAACAACCAAACAAACAAACAAAGCAAACCAACACGCAAACGCGCAAACAAACACGCGCCTCCATCCATCCATCCATCCATCCATCCATCCATCCATCCATGCATGATGGATGCATGCATGCATGCATGCAGACATACATGCCAGTGTGGGTATGTACATTTTTGCACACACACACATACTCTCTCTATATGTGTGTATGTATGTATGTATGTATGTATGTATGTATGTATATATATACTTATAATATATATATATATGTATGTATATGTATATGTCTGTAATAGATATATATATATATCTATATAT